TTTTTAATCTCCTAAATTTCTTCATAATGCCCCTTTTATTCATTCCCACAGCCCCTCACTCCTATCCTTAACCTGGGATAACCGCTACTTGCTTTCTGACTTTATAGCTTTGCCTTTTCTAGAATGCCATCCAAATGGAAGGGAACGCTCTGGTTGGTGCGTAACCTTTTGAGCCTGGCTTCTTCCAGTTAGTATAATGTATTTGAAATTTATTCATATTGTTCATCAATAGTTTATTCTTCTTTGTTGCTGAGTAGAATTCCATTGTATAATTGTACCTAAGTTTGTTTATTCACTTACCCATTGCTAATATTTGGGATATTTGGGTTGTGGGAAAGGTATTTGGGTTGCATACAGGTTTTTGTGTGATTATAAGTTTCTGTCTTTTGGATAAATACCTACGAGTAGAATAACTGGATCCTAGAGTGGGTCTATATTTAACTTACAAGAAACTGCCAAACTGTTTTCCAAAGTGATTGTTTCATTTTGCATTATTACTAGCCATGTATGAGTTCCAAATGCTCTAAATTTCCATTTCTTTGCTTTCCTGAAGATTCAATGGCCATTTCCTGCAGAGTGTTCTGAGCTCATGCCTAAGACACCATCATCTAAATGCCACACTTACTTCAAATTCTCTCATCCATTCCCTATCTTAGGTAGTGGTGCCATTCTCCCAGTTGCCCAGGACAGAAAGAGGGGAATTGTAGCTCTTATCTCTTCCTTATTGTTCATATCCAAATGTCACTGGATTTTGTTGAAACAACTTATTTCTTCCCATTGTAGTATATCTTCCCATTCAGACCACTCTGAGCCCTTCTGTTCACTGGCTCAGGAAGATCTTAACACAAAACCCGGAGCTAATCATATCTCAAAAGGCTCCAATGACTTTTCATTAGGGAATATAACACCCTTTAAGATTTGTGGGTATGTTTTTTTCTGTTTTTAAAATATGGAACTCTTCATGAATTTGCGTGTCATCCTTGCTCAGGGGCTATGCTTACTTCTATATTATTCCAATTTTAGTATATGTGCTGCCAAAGCGAGCACTTGTTTTGTTTTTTTGGGGTGTGTGTGTGTGTGTGTGTGTGTGTGTGTGTGTGTGTGTGTGTGTTTTATACAAAACACCTCTCCAGTTAGCTCTTCTTTATCTAATGTCTGAATTCAGAAGCCAAACTGCCAGATTTTGAATTTTGACTCTACCACTTACTGCTTTACCTTGGGTAACATCCTCTCCACACACAGTGGTATTCAAAGTTATGTAAGAAAATGAAAAGATTTGCAACACTATGTGAGATTTGCTTCCTTAGCTTTTTAAAAAGTTTAAAAACAAGTATCTTATTCTTTTATTATTCACACATCATGTTTCTGATTCATTTATATTCCTTAATTTTTTTATTAAGGTATTATGTATGTGTCCTTATCTCCCCATTACCCCCCCCCCCCCCCCCACACACACACACACACTCATGCCCTCACCCTCCTGGTGTCTGTGTCCATTGATTAGGCTTATATGCATGCATACAAGTCCTTTGGTTGATCTCTTCCCATTACCCCCACCTCCCTTACCTTCCCCTCTGAGGTTTGATGGTCTGATCAATGCTTCTCTGTCTCTGGATCTGTTTTTGTTAGTTTATGTTGTTCATTGTATTCCATAAATGAGTAGATCATGTGATATTTATCTTCCTCTGACTTTTATTCTGGAGTCAGGCCTAGATATGAATCTCAGCTCTACTCAGTTCAATTATTAGCTATGTTCTCTTTGGCAAGTAACTGTTTCATCTGTACTGTGGGAATAATAGTATTAGCCTCATAGTGATTGTTGTGAGGACTAAATGAATTACTGTATCTACAAGGGCTTCACACAATGCAGACACAGAGTAAACACTATTTTAGAGTATTAATTATGATTATTTAACTGGTGGGGAAGTAAGCCCCTTATTTCCCACCCGTCATCGGTGCCCTTGCAATGAATCCTGAACAATCAGCATGTCCTTCTGTCATAGAAATTAGCACAATGTATAGACATTACTTTCCTCACCCACACTTAAGATGTCTGACAGACATTTCTTTGCCTCAAGCACTCGGGTCTCTAAAAATCCCCAGGGCTTATCCCTCTTTTTGTCTACTAGGTCCTTTTTAGTCTGTCTACCCCTGCTTCTTCAGATACCAGATATAACCCTAGAGACATTCTGACTTTATGTGTACAAATGTTAAAATGAGAATCATACCATCACAAATGGATTTTTGTTGAGAAAGCATTTTTTGGAATGTATTCAAATCAATTTAATTTCTTGATGTCTATATAATACCTCAAAACATATATATTTTTTCCATTTTCATTGTACAGAAATCATTCTCTATAGTTTAAGGTATGTGACGGAGTATTAAGGGCCCTGTACTCAATACTAAAGAACTGAAGTTTAACTCAACATGTAGTGAAGAGGGTTTTCAAAGGGTAATGAAATAATCAGATTGATGAGAAAGGTTAGGTTGGCACCAGTTTGACAGCTAGGTGAGCAGGGTCGAGCCTGAGTCAGAGGAGGAAGCTACAAGGAGCCTAGGAATAGAGGGTGCAGACTTGAATTAGGATGGTTGCTGTGCAAACAGGGAGGAAGGAATTGGAAAGGACTGACGTTACATTGGACAGAATTCAATAAATAGAACATGTAGGATGATTAAAGAGGGAAAAGTTGAGACCACTCCCAAAATTGCCAGGCTAAGTAACTGGATGAAATTTGATAATGCATTAACCAATCACATAAGTATAGGATGGAGCAAGTAGACAAAACAATTCTGTCTCTAGTTATGATGAAGCTAAAGATCCTTGTGTAGGTCGTTTAAGTGGAGCTAGAATAGCAGGAAATTGGAAATTAAGATCTGGATTTCAGAGAGAGGTTGAAGTTTTAGATTTGGGGGTCAACAGGGTTCTTAGTAACAGCTGAGGCCATTGGAATGGATGAAACTAAACCAGGGAATTGTCTATACAGAATCAAAAATGCTTAGCACAGAATTAAATCAGGCTTTATCATTAAGCTTAACAACATAATCTTAATTTTATTAAAGCTCAGATAGAACATCATTAAAAATAAGCAGATGACGCACTGGCTGCTTTGCCTTGCTGGATGGAGCGTCAGCCTGCGGACTGAGAGGTCCCAGCTTTGATGCCAGTCAAGGACACATGCCAGGGTTGCAAGCTTGGTCCCCAGTAGGGGAAATGCAGGAGGCAGCTGACCAATGATTCTCTCTCATCATTGATGTTTCTAGCTCTCTCCCCTTCCTCTCTGAAACAAAACAAAACAAAACAAAACAAAAAAGCAGAAGTTAATGTGAAGAGATGATGATATATAAATCCTGCAATCTGTAGGGTAAATTTATTTATTTATTTAAATTTATATTTTTTGTAGGGTAATTTTTAAATATGACTATATATCTTTGAACTTACTTAGAATAAATCAGTCTATTGGCTTGGAAATGCTAGTTTCTAACTTTACTAAATAGCAGATTAATCAAGTTAGCTACTTGTTATCAGTAAAGACTGTCCTAAATGAAGCAACTAAGTATTTGCTGATCTACAGCCTACAGTATAAAGGCCATATAAATAAATCATGAAGCCAACTCATAAACATACAATATGGACTTAATAGTGCAACTACAAATATCTAGAGATTGTCATTTAATCTATGTATCTATATACATATGTGTTTGTGTACCAGGAAGTTTTATGTAATTTATTTAACTTTAGGACATTACTTGGTCTGGAATATTTCAACAGAAAACTAACTAAAACTTAAGAAAAGATTCTCTAGGTCCTGCTATTTCCAGAGAGTGAGTGGATTTACTTAAAGTGAGTCTCTGAAACCCTTATTTTATAAGAGGTTCTCAGGTAATTATGATGCAGTGGGTTCAAGAGATATACTTAAGAGAAATACTAGCTTATCTTAGATCCGTTTTAACCACGTCTTTAAAAAACATGCTGAGAAGTGTTCACAGAAAAATGTTTTAAATAAGTGTTATTATGGCTTAAGTAGAAAATACATTTCTTTATTAAAATCATGTTGACGATAAAGTATATTTTGAAATGACACACAAAGTTATAGCAAAGCTATATGTATTTTAATTTCATCACATTCCATTCTAAATTCTTTACCATTTACCAAAAATAACTTTTTATAAAGCTTACTATTTTGTCTAACATTATACAGGCTATCAACCTATACTTTTTCGTGCGTTTCTCTGAAAAAATTAGAATAGTTTATGAGGATATTATATAAAAGTAATTGGTATATTACACACCAAACATAAGTACAGATTCTGTACAACATAATAGTATACATATATATTACAAGAGACTTGGTGCCTTGTTAAAAATAATAGTTTAAGAAATCTTTCATGGAAAAAAGTCTGTATCACAAAATGCGGTGGATTAAATATCAGTTGCTTCCCTCTCAAGAATTTCTTTCGGTAGGCATTAACTGTCCATTTAGCTTCATTAACAGTTTCACCACAAGGCCAGCCTACAAAGTAAAATGTTGACAATAAAAAGGAAGCATGTTAGATGAGTAAATGACATAGATGGAAGTGGGCAATTCTCTAGCTATTGTAAAGAACTTTCGTATCAGGGGTACATACAGCCTGTCAAGAATATTTACTTAGGCTTTTGAAGGGATTTAGAAAATGACCTGCTGGATTCAACTGGTGGCTCAGATAGGATACTGCTTAAGGACAGGGAAGGACCACCTGATAGAAGAGAGAGGCAATCCTGCCCAGAATTTTTTATAATGGCAGAAAAAGAGAGTTTCATGTTATAAAACTGAAATAAATTATTCAGATAAGTTTCTGACTTTGCTTAGGAAAGACCTGCTTTCCCCCCTTAAATGTTTTCATTTCATTACATATTAGCAGTTTTCCTTGAAGTAAAATGGATTGTTCTTTTATAAAAAATAATTTTACTAATATAATAGCTCATTATTAGAAATCCAGAATAATTGATGAGTACTTACCTGTTTTGTATGTACTATAAAGCTCATTTTATTTTCCATACTATGGATCTGAAAACATGTACCAGCATCTCCCAATTGCCACATAAAGCAGCCATACTTAAGACTGATGAGTAAAGCCTACAACATAATTAATAATTATTGTATATTATTATTAAAAGCACCAAACTTCTCTCACTATTTACACTTTCCTAGTCAGGTCTAATGTTAGAATAAAACTTATTCAAAGAAAGCACCACACTAACTTCAAACAACCTGCAGTACAGAGATACATATATAGTATGCTCTCAAGATACTGCCTCAAGCAATGACACATTTTTTTTTTTATCAGACTGGTAACAATTTTTAAAGATGCCCATTCTGTGGTATGTATGTGTATACATGTGCATGCACGTATGCACACACACCCAAGCATACTATTCAGCCATGAGAAATAAAATCCCTGTCATCTGCAATTACATGAATAGATCTTAAGGGCATGACATTAATTGAAATAAGTCAGATACAGAAAGACAAATACTATATAACACTTGTATGTGGAATCTAAAAATGCCAAACTCATAGAAACAGGTAGTAAAATAGTAGTTACCAGGGGTTGGCGGGTTTGGGAAATCCAAGGGATGTGCGTCACAGAGCACACCTTTCAGTTAAAAGATGAGTAAGTTTGCCCTGATCGGTTTGGCTCAGTGGATAAAGCATCGGCCTGTGGACTAAAGAGTCCCAGGTTTGATTCCTGGTTGTGGGCACATCCCCAGTGTGGGGTGTGCAGGAGGCAGCTGATCGATGTTTCTAGCTCTCTATCACTCTCCCTTTCTATGAAAATCAATAAAATATATTTTTTAAAAATGAGTAAGTTCTAGTGTACAGCATAGTGACTAGAGTAAATAATGCTGGATTGTATACCTGAAAGTTGCTAAATGATCTTATATGTTCTCACCACAAATAAGAAATGATAATTATATGATGTGATGGAGGTATTAGACAATTCTTATTAGACTTATCTATTCAGTTATGTATTTTTTTTGGTAATATTCTACATATAAGTGAGATCATATAGTATTTGTCTTTCTCAGTCTAACTTATGTCACTTACTGTAAGGCCCTCAAAGTCCATTCATGTTGTCACAAATGGCAAGACTTCATTTTTTTTATTTTTTATGGCTGAATAATATACCATTGTGTGTGTGTATCACATTTTTTTAAATGTAGTCATCCATCGTTGGACATTTAGATTGTTTCCATATCTTGGCTGTTGTAAATAATGCTACATCAAACATGGTAGTGTAATTTTTTTGAGTCAGTGTTTTGGTTTTCTTTGGATAAATACCTACTTCCCCCATTTTTACACAAAAGGTAGCATAATACATATGCTTTAGCACCTTGCTTTTCTACTAAATACATCTTGGAGATCATTCTACACAAAAATATTCTTCATTCTCTTATATAGCCAAAAGATATTTCAATGTAGAAATGTACTATAATTAACATGTTAATCCCTAAAGATAATCATTTGGTTTTTAACCACCAATTTTTCAATTGAAAAATGAAATTGCAATGATAGGCTTGCACATATGCCAGTACTGTTATTTTAGCTATTATAGTCAAAAAGAGCTGAAAATCTACCTTAGTTTCCATGTTGAGGAGATGAAGTCCTTTTATATTCACTCCTACATACACAGGAATGACTTTATGATTGCTGGGACTTGCCTTTGTAAATATCTGTCCTGTGAAAAAAGCTGCTCCATACGTAGGAATTTCCCAACAATTCTGTAGGAACATGCGCTGAAGGTGATGCATTTCTTTACTGATACCCTCACTTGTACTAAGATTCTAAAACCAAAAAAAGTAAAATAAAGAGATGTGAAAGGAGAAGGTACCTTTGATAATCCAAAGAGGCCAACTAAGCAGTTTCTAAAATCAAGGCTGACCTCCAAGAAGAATAAGTGACATTATCCCAAAAGCAATTTTTCTTTTGAGATTTTACATTAAAAAAGAAAAAAGAAATATCAGGGTCTAAAAATATTTCTTGTCTATCCTGCCAGATTTTTTAAGTGCCTCATGGACAGAGATATTACTTCATGTTTTTTTTGTTTTTTTTTTTTAAATCACTAGTCCTTACCATGGTATCCAGCACATAAAAGGTATTTATGAAAAGATTGTACATTATTTAAAACAAAAATAACTTTCTTGCCCTGGCTAGGTGATTCAGTTGGTTGAAGCATCATCCTGTACACCAAAAGATTTCAGGTTTGATTCCCGATCAGGGCATATACCTAGATTTCAAGTTAGATCCCAGGGTCAAGGCTTATACAGGAGGCAAATGACTGATGTTTCTCTCTCATGGATGTTTCTCTCTCTCCCCCTCTTCCTCTAAAATACATTAAAAGAAAACAACAACAACAACAAAAAAAAAAACACCAGAAATATAAGAATGTCTTCCTTTCAGTTTCAGGCATGTAAAACAAAAGATCCTATTTTAATTTCAGGACTATATGTTTTATGAACTTTGTTTAAAGCATATTAATAATACTAACAAATTTTCAACTCTCTTATAAAATGTCCTTTTAGTTTTATTACACAACTTACCTTATATTCATGAAGTATTCTGTTTGTCCAGTGAGGTGCCTTACTTTTCAATTTGGTAATAGGTACAATAGATTTTAGATTTTCTTCACTGCAAGCAAATATGCCAACATATTTTAAAAAATCTTTACTAGCTAAAGTAATATAATCATTTAGACACAAAAGGTTTTTAGTAACTTGAGTTTTTAGTTAAAAAATACTGTTGTAAAATATTAAGAGAGCTCTAAGAAATTTTTAAACAAAAGCCACAATCTTAACATTCAATTCAGAGAAATGTTTTTTTTCAATAACCACAAAGTATTTTTGAAAATTGAAAACCACAATAAACAAATGTAAGATGTGCTAAAACCTCAGTTTTCTCTCAACATGAAACTAGTTTTTGTGGTAAAATTTTTAAATGCATCTGCCTTATAACATTTTCCTACCACTCATTCAAGCTTTAGTGAACTCAGAAAGTAAAACTTAAAGGATGCTTTACATAGATTTTTTTTTTTTTTTTTTTTTTTTTTTTAAATATATTTTATTGATTTTTTCAGAGAGGAAGGGAGACAGATAGAGAGCTAGAAACGTCGATGAGAGAGAAACATCGACCAGCTGCCTCTTGCACACCCCCTATGGGGATGTGCCCGCAACCAAGGTACATGCCCTTGACCGGAATCGAACCCGGGACCTTTCAGTCCGCAGACCGACGCTCTACCACTGAGCCAAACCGGTTTCGGCTAGATTTTTTGTTTTGTTTTTTTTCCTTTCTCATTCTATGCTTTGTATTACAGCTATCTCTTGGTATCTAAGGGGGATTGGTTCCAGGACTCTTGAGGATGCTGTCGCTCAGTCAGCCCTCTATATGTGTGGGTTCAATCTGACGTTGGTTGAATCTGTGAATGTGGAGCCCATGGAAACAGAGGGCTGACTGTACTTAATTCCAAACTAATGTATAAATATTTACTTCTAAATATTCTTGGTTAAATTGAATCTTAAGCATAGCACAAGACCATAATTACATTCACATGAAATACTTACTTTAGGAAACCTTGCTTGTGCTTCTTACTCTCATAATTTCCATAAACTATTTGCAACAACAGACTTGCTAATGTTATCAGTTTGGCATCTGGAGCTGTATAAAAGCCCTTCAGTAAGTTATATCTGGCTTCGTCAAAGAGAATAAGAATAGCTAGTGGGTCTTCAATCTTAAAAGAAAAAAGTATAATTTGGTTAGTAAGCTATAATTTCCTGTTACAAAAGTACAACTTGTCATTATCTAATATAGAAAAATAAGAATTACATTTATGTATATAAATAAGCCATTAGTACTTAAGAGCAGAGGCTGAAATTTTTTTCTATTGAGGACCAGACAGTAATACTTAAAGCTTTGTGAGTCATAGTCTCTTATAATAACTCAACTCTGCTACTGTTAGCACAAACGCAGCCACAGACAATACATCAACAAATGGGTGTGGTGGTATTCCAGTAACACTGTATACGTGATTATTGAAATCTGAATTTCATAAAATTCTCACATGACATGAAATATTGTTCTTCTGAAAATTTTTCAATCTAGTAACTTGCAGGATATATAAAAATATGCAGCAGATCAGATATGGCAATAGGCCATAGTTTGCTAACCTCTGATTTACAGTCCAAAAAAATTTTCACCAGTTTATGGATATGAGATATGGTAAATCTGAGCACAAATTTACTCAAATTCTTTATATCCTCCAAACATTCTTCTATTTATGCTTCTAAAAAGAACTCATACTAAACTCAAAGAAGATAAACGGAAGTGTGTTAATTCTCAGAAGTATGGTACGAGTAGTTTAAAAAAATTTAATACAAACATGTTTTATTTGACTAAAAATACTTTGCACTTGCAAATAACATTAAAGGAGAGCATATGCTTCTTTTTAGGTTTTAAAAACTTTGAAGTTTCATTTTATCCAAAAAGATTAACATACTAAAAAAATGCTACTCTACAGAATATAGCTCTTCTTGGAAAAAATCACCAATTAACAAAGTTTCTGAATGACTACTTAAAATACTTCCAAGTATAACTTACAATGATCCAATTCTTTATGGTAAAGATTATTTTTGCCACTTTAACTAAAATAATATCTTATAATACTTTATAATATAAAAAATAGAATTTCATGGGAAAAAAGGAGGGAATTATTCCAGATTACAAGAAACTAGTAATCAAATGCAAAGCATGACCCTTGATTAGATCTTACGAATGGGAGCTATGAAAGACTTTAAAACAATTGGGAGAAATCTGAATACAGATCTGATACTAGATATTATTATAGAAATATTAATTTCATTATAAAGGGTAATGTAGTATGTAGATATGTCCTTTGGGAGATGCCTGTTGAAATATGCAGAGATGAAGTGCTATAATGTCTGCAACACTCTTTTAAATGGCTCACAGAGGAAAGAGAGAAAATATGAAACCAATGTAACAAAACATTAACAACTAGTAATTTATTGAATGGGATATGGTGTAAATTTTCTTTTTCAACTTTCCTATGGGTTTTAATGTCTCCAAATAAGATGTTGGAAAGATGATTGAAGAAAACATTTTTCTAATAAAAATTAACTTAGTGAATTTGAAGTTCCAGCTGAGTTATAATTCCTAATAGTATGTTTAGTGAGTATCAATCAACTATTGTTCTTTTTAAATGAAATCAGTCTATTTTAATTCTAAAAGAATGAGGCTAACCAATAAATGCAATTATTCTACTTTTCAGATAGTACAAGTAGGAATTTCTAAATTACATAAAAAGTGAAAGAAAACACTACTTTTCCATATTATGATATTCTGATTTACCATAAGTACTTACTAAGCCTTGATTTTTTTTTCACTTGAGCCTACTTCATATTATTTATAAAATACTTATACAATTTATCATATAAGTATTATCATTATTGTTCTTTTTCTCTAGCAGCCAATTTCTAAAACATTACTTAGGTGAAGAAGGAAGACACACTAAGTATACTTATATTATTTCTAGATTTCATGAATCTAATATACTTTTTAAAACTATGTTAAAATACATACAACAAAAATTTATTTTTTCATTTTAACCATTTTTAAGCATACAATTCAGTGGCATTTATTACATTCACAATGTTGAGCAACCATGACCAATCACTCTTTTAACCACCTAAACAAAATCTGTAACCATTAAGTAATAACTCTTCATTCTCCCTGTGCCACTCATCTATGGCAACTCTAATCTACTTTCTGAGTACATGAATTTGCCTGTTTTAGATACTTAATTTAAGTAGAATCATACAATATTTATCTTTATGTGTCTGATTTATTTCAGTTATCATAATGTTTTTAGGGTCCATCCATGTTATGGCATGTATAAAGACTTCATTCCTTTTTACAGCTGAATAATATTTCATTTTAGGTATATACTACATTTTATCTATTGTATCTCTTGATGGACACTTTGTTTCCACTTTTTTGGCAATTTGTGAATAGTGTTGCCATGAACACTGCATACAGGTAACTGTTTGATTTCTTGTTTATAATTCTTCGGGTATATACCTAGGAAAGAAAGTGCTGGATCATATGGAATTCTGTTTAGTTTTTTGAAGAACCACTAAATTTTTTTCCATAAAGACTGCACCAGTTTATACTCTCATCTGCAATGTACAGGGGTGTTCTAAACTCTCTACAGCCTTCCTCACCAATACTTGCCATTTTCCTTAATAAATTTTTATTATAGCCATCTTAATAGGTTTAAATTGGTTTCTCATTTGTGAATATAGTTTTACTTTTCTCATATTTGGATGCTTTTTCTTCATTTTTTTTTTTTTTTTGTCTTTTGTCGAATTGCTCTGGCTAAAACATCCAGTACTATGTAAAATAGCAGTGATGAAAACAGACATCCTTGTCTCGTTTCTGATCTTAAGAGGAATGTTGTCAATCTTTCAACATTGAGTATGATGTTGTGAGTTTACCTTATTGAGGAAGCTCCTATTATTTACCGTATTGAGGAAGCTCCTATTATTTCTAGTTTTCTATGTTAGTTGAGATGATCATGTGGTTTTATTTCCTTAATTCTATTTGTAATTCTAACATATTTTAAATAAATAATCAAGATCTTAGTTTTTGGTAAATTTAATACAATTTTGATATACCTTCCAGCATATTTGGGTAACAGGATCAAATCTCAGAGGGACAATATGAATAGTCAGGCAAAAAACATTTACCAAATTTGGACATGGTCACTGAAATTTTCTTGTGCTGACATTTGCTTAATTATATACATTATTATGTTTTTTTCACAGTTTCATACCCCCATTTTCATAGCTATCTAACCTTTATGGTCTAATTCAAATCCAAACATACTTGTTTGGAACAGATATTTTTATCCAATGTAAATTGTATTCTCTCTTTTTTATTTTTTAGTATCTATATAATTCTCTGCTTGAAAACAGCTACTTACTAATTATAGAGAACAATCTTTTATGTCCCCTTTGCAAATATAATTTTCTCCACTTAGAATATTCTTTTCTGTACTCCCCATTCTACGGTATCTTTTTGCTCCTCTGAAATTTACACACTTTATTAGCCCTTTATTAAATTTCTCTTGACACTATACTATTCTGAAATTTTTTTTTTTTTTTTTTTTTTTTTTTATAATCCGCCTTCTATCTGGTTGTTAATAATTCTCTTTAGGATAGACTTTTGCATTCTAAGACAATGGAAGGAATATGAGAAAACCAACCAGGGGCTTTAGAAAGTGGTTTGACTCAAACTACCATTTACCAAAGGGATGTGAGGGTTGAACAGAAAACCGAAGTAAACCCCACCTGTACAGGAAGAGCAGTTTCTGCCTGCAGTGCCTACCATAGGAACTCAATAAATTCTGTACATTTACATGACTGTAAGTAAGATTTTCAAGCAAACCTTTTTTTCAACTTCCAAAGGAAGTCTCACATCTCTTCTTAGGAAAAGCTGTGGTGTTTCCCTTTGGGGATCCAAATTAGTCAATTCAGCCAGTATTTCTGGCCAGTCCCGAACGTGTTGCAAGGGTTTATGATATGGTTTGAGTTGAAGGCCTGAAAAACATCTTTCCTTTTATAAATGATAATATAAAAATAGATCAATTATATCAATGCATAGAAACTTTGTATTAAACTCTTTGCACTTAAGTACTGAATACACAAATTAAGTACAAATTTAAATCAACATTGATTTTAATTAATACTACCCAACTTGAGTTGATTGCTTTTGCTTTTAAGAATATAAGAATTGGCCTGGCTGGTGTTTCTCAGTGGTAAGAGCATAGCTTCAAGGACTGAAAAGTCACGGGTTAGATTTCCAGGCAAGGGCAGGTATCCTGGTTGCAGCTTCAATCCGAGGCCTTGGTAAGGGTGCCTGTGGAAGGCAACCAGTCGATGTTTCACTCATGTTAATGTTTCTCTCTCCCTCTCTCTCTCTCTCTCTCTCTCTCTCTCTCTCTCCCTCTCTCTCTTCCTCTCCCTCTCCCTTTTACTTTCTCCCTACCTACCATTCTCTTTAAAAATCAATGGAAAAAATATCCTTGGGTGAGGATTAAAAAAAAATAATAATATAAGAATTATGAGAATAATTCTTAAAAGAAATAAAATTTATTAGATCTATTTAAAATCCTTAATTTCATGGCAGCCTAATTAATGATACAATCAGTAGTATTTTGTTTTAAAAAATAACCTATTAGATAACCAATCAAAACAACTTCAATTAAATCCTTTATGTATTCTCAATACTTTGAGAGATAAATCTATAGTAAGCTTGATTTTAAATAAAAAAGATCTAAAAGAAAATTAATATAAAGAAAAAAATTTATTAGTATTTTGAGCACTGAAAATAAAGGCAAGTTGGATGAGCCACCACATTTAATGACATTCAAATAAAACTCCATTGCCAAAGAAGAAATGTTTTGGTTTTTACCACTTAAAATATTGTTTGAGTTAAGTGAGGGGGAGGCTTACCTGTTTCAACAAATAATTTATATAAAAGAGTACAGCGGGGATGGTTTGGCTCAGTGGCTAGAGCGTAGGCCTGCGGACTCAAGGGTCCTGGAGTCAATTCCGGTCAAGGGCATGTACCTTGGTTGCGGGCACATTCCCAGGAGGGAGTGTGCAGGAGGCAGCTGATGGATGTTTCTAACTCTCTATCCCTCTCCCTTCCTCTCTGTAAAAAATCAATAAAAGGTATTAAAAAAAAAACAAACTACAAATAATTTATTTAAAAAAGAACACTGTATCGTTTTAATATTTAAGTTAGTAATTAACTGATGTTAGACTGATGTTAAGTGAAATTGACCAACCCACTCTCAAAAAAGAATAATGATGTTCACACAACAAAATAATAACTTTCTTACTGAGGTTTTCTGAACAGATCCAAATAGTGAAATATTGTTGTGTTTCTTGAGAGAGACGCATTCCTTCCATTATCTGCTGCACTGTGGTATTATTTCCATGCTTTAGTTCAACAGAACGGTATGATCCATCCATTCTGTAGATTCGAACTTTTTCATACTAGAACAAAGAATGATAATAAATTATGTAATCTGGTTAGAAATTATACAGCCAAATCCACCACCAAAATGCTTTAATTTCAACTTCATCAACTTCATCTGCTTAATATAGATTTCTAACATGGAAAATATCAGAAAAATGGCTTCAAGTAAGAATCTGCTGGCAATAATTTTTAAAATTTTACTTTCATTATTTACATTTTCTAATACATTTTCCTCTGGATATCCCGTGGTCAAATAATCTTGAGAAACTAAGAACAATTAGTTTTTTTAAAAATTCAACTTCAAAATCTTCTGAGAGGATTTTTTTATAAGCTGTTATGTCCAATGTAGAGATCAAATGGGGGATATACATTGGTTAACTAAATCTGGTGTTAGTCAAATACCTCATAAGTCTATTGGGCCACAAATTATACTACAGAAATGTGCAGGTAGAAATTTTAAGCAATGGACCTTAAGCCAGTTTTTTTTTCTTTCTTCCAGTTCAGAAATTCCCAGAGACAAATGAAATTCTCAATAATATTTTTGTGGTGATGGGGCCTCCAAACGACTTCCAGAACAGTTCATTTTGGATAAAATACCTAATTCCTTTTATTTTTTTACATTCCAATATAAAAAGTATGGCAAGGAAAAAAAAGTTTTTTAACAATACTAGAAAATTAATTGCAAAGAAGTTTAACATAAAGTTGCCTATATACCACATCTATTTTCTTGCCCTTGTCTTATGCTTATGGAATAGTGTTTTGACAAAATGTGCATGAGTATGTAATAATCCTTAAAGGGAGAGATCATATATTTTTTATCAGTTATCAATTTCAGCATTTCATGGTATTAAATTTACAGAAATATTCAACAAAGACTTACTGTCTCATTGATGGGAATGTCTGGAAAGACTCAGACATATGAGTTATATCTGTTGGTATCAAACTTTTATCCTATATCTGTTGATATGAATCCTTTTTGCAAGTAATCTAATTTGCAAGTTTTCAAATCTTTAAATTAATGATAGATTTGTAATCACTATAACTTTTAGGATTGAGTTTTTTTCTAATTGTTAATTCTTTTCTACCTTAATGCTACTGCCAGTAATTTTGGACATAATTAGATGGAAAACCAGGTTGAATAGGCAGGGGGAAAAAAGCTAGGAAATCTCCAATCTTAACTCATTCACTTTCTTGAGGAATACAATGAATCTGTAATAGATAACTTGCTGAAACTAAATTAATGAATGATGTTTAATGTTAGTATTTACAAATATAAAATATTGCTGAGGAGGCCTAAGTAGAGACATATGCTTCAATGAACAGATTACAATTAGTAATTAGCACAAGTATAGAGATTATACTGAAAAATAAATTAAGTTTAAGTAATTAAAAGATTTGCTTATTCAAGTTTCATTTTGTTAAGCAAGAATAACAAACGTCGAACCATTATGGATAACAAATTTAATGCTTATGAAGTCTAACCATGAGGTTTTATAAAAGCAGTAAAGAAACCAGCCATCCTTCCACTCTTGCCACAGAACCTGAAATTACTCATCAATTTAAGTAGAAAGCTTGGCTCTACTATGAAGATAATCTTACTGGTTTGTTAATGGCTTCCTTCAACAATTTTGTAGTTTCTTCCCAATTATTTTGTTTGTTTTCTTCACAAATATTTAAAGGGGATTTTCCTTGTTGGTCTGTTATATGCTAAAAATGTGGGGGGAAAGAAGAGGATAAAGAAAAAAGGCATTATAAATATATGGCAATGTAAAGGCAAATATTAAAGTTTGATTTTAAAAGACTCTTCACAAGTAGTAAGTAAATAAGAACCATATTTAGTACATGCTATACTTACACATGAATTACCAAATATGAAAGACTTAAAGCACAGATATCAATGTGATTATTGTTTTTCAAAAGTTCTGATTACAGCCGAAACCGGTTTGGCTCAGTGGTAGAGCATCGGTCTGCAGACTGAAGGGTCCCGGGTTTGATTCCAGTCAAGGGCATGTACCTTGGTTGCAGGCACATCCCCGGTGGGGAGTGTGCAGGAGGCAGCTGGTCAATGTTTCTCTCTCATCGACGTTTCTCTCTCCCTTCCTCTCTATCTCTCTCCCTTCCTCTCTGTAGAGAATCGATGAATATATTTGGGGGGGGGGGGGAGGAAGGAGTTCTGATTACAAATACATACAATTCAGGTTTTGTTAAAACTATCTTTTTTCCCTTTTTTTTTTTTTTTTTTTTTTTGCCAAAACCGTTTTGGCTCAATGGATAGTGCGTCGGCTTGGGGACTGAAAGGTCCCAGGTTCAATTCCGGTCAGGGGCATATATCTTGGTTGCGGGCATATCCCCACTAGGGGGTGTGCAAGAGGCAGCTGGTCGATGACACTCTCTCATCGGTTTCTAACTCTCTATCTCTCTCCCTTCCTCTCTGTGCAAAATCAATAAAATATATTTTTTTAAAAAAACTATCTTTTTTTCCCCCCTTCACAAAATACTTGTTAATACAAATTCTAGAAAGTGGGTAGAAAATCTTTTTTAATTCTTAAAAAAAAAAATAAAAAAAATAAAAAAAAAAAAAATATATATATATATATATATATATATATATTTTTTTTTTTTTTTTTTATTTTATTGATTTTTTACAGAGAGGAAGGGAGAGAGAGAGCTAGAAACGTCGATGAGAGAGAAACAACAATCAGCCGCCTCCTGCACACCCCCCACCGGGGATGTGCCCACAACTAACACACATGCCCCTGACCGGAATCGAACCTGGGACCTTTCAGTTAGCAGACCGAAGCTCTACAACTGAGCCAAACCGGTTTTGACAATTTTAAAATATATTTTTGAAGAATACAATATGAAATGAAAAGAGGTTAAATTTTATGTACATTCTGTAGAAGATTTAACAGTAACATGAACATACTTAATGCCACTGAACTGTACTCCTAAAAGTGGCTTACCTGGTACATTCCACGCAAGGCATATTTTATCATCATCAAAATGTTTACGTATAAAAGCAAAGTTTACACGTAATAGATATAGTAAGTGAAATTTGTTTTTATTTTTCAGCTAACCTCTCAAGTATACTACCGAACATTTTAGTGTCATTATTTGTTTTTCACTGCTTAAATATTAAAGAACACACCCAACAACCTGGAAAATAACTTACTCTGTCAATTTCTGGATGGTTTAAGAGAATCTGTACTATTTCAGCATGTCCTCCACCAGCAGCAAAATGAAGAGGAGAACTAAGATGTCCATTTAAAAGGTTTGGATTGCACTTTCCTTTTTCTAACAGTATGCGAGTGGCCTCAACCTTTCCAAGCCTATTAAAAAAAAAAGTCATTTCAAATGTCTTAAAACTCCAAATTTTAGAAGAAATCGCAAAGAAATCTAAGATTTTTCTAGGCAGAGAGCAAGGAACTAAGATACAGACAATGTTTTCAGTGCCTAGGGACTGATTTCTCATTAATTATTCTGGTTCAATTCAATTGTGTTTATTTCTGATCAACTCAAAGAAAATATAACTTCAAACAAAAGACAGAGCACATAAAGTACAAAAATTATAAATTAAAGAATTTTTAGTCAAAACTTATGTCCAGAATCAGAAAGTAATTTATAAGCTTTTCACA